GGCCAAGAGGGGCTAAAAGTCTTTTTTCGATAACTCTTTAACAGTCAATAATTTGTAATACATTACTGAAGTAAAAATGTTTATCTCAACAATCTACAACTGTATATTATGATTTTTGTGTCGTATATTACATAATTAGGGGCCACAAGGGGCCAGAAGGCAAAATCTTTGACGCTTTGTATCTCAAAAGTGAGAAATATTTTGATAAGTAATATTGAACAAAAGATGTTCAAAATGATGTTCTGAACAACATGCAACCTTTCATTTTTCGCTAAACGTCCCCATTAGGGAGTTGAAGGGTTGGCCCCTAAATATTTCTTTTGCGAATAACTCGAAAACGAAAAAGAATCTCTGAATAGTTGTTGAACAAAAAGTGCTCAAAATCCTAAGAGCTTTAAGATGAAATCCAGAAAAAGGGGCTATACACACAAATTAGGGGCCAAGAGGGGCTAAAAGTCTTTTTTCGATAACTCTTTAACAGTCAATAATTTGTAATACATTACTGAAGTAAAAATGTTTATCTCAACAATCTACAACAGTATATAATGATTTTAAAGTCGTACATTACATAATTAGGGGCCACAAGGGGCCAGAAGGCTAAATCTTTGACGCTTTGTATCTCAAAAGTGAGAAATATTTTGATAAGTAATATTGAACAAAAGATGTTCAAAATGATGTTCTGAACAATATGCAACCTTTCATTTTTCGCTAAACGTCCCCATTAAGGAGTTGAAGGGCTGTTCCCTAAATATTTCTTTTGCGAATAACTCGAAAACGAAAAAGAATCTCTGAATAGTTGTTGAACAAAAAGTGTTCATAATCCTGAGAGCTTTAAAATGTTATGAAGAAAAAAGGGCTGATCCCTAATATTAGGGGCCGTGAGGGGCCAAAAGTCGATTTTAGAAGTCTTTATTGTTCAATGTCTTTTTACAGAATATGGAAAATCATTACTTAAGAATGAGAATCTCAATCAAAATTTGATCTCATCTCATCAAGAATCGAACGGAAGACCCACTCGTTGCTCGCAACGAGATCGTATCTAGTTTTTTTTCTTATTTGTTCTCCGGTACTTTTTTGTCCGCGAGTGTTCTCAGAAACTGTTCACCCAACTGAGCTAAAACCTTTTTAGGGTTAATAGGTGTGTAGTGTAGGTGTGCGGAACGAAGGTCATTTTGCGCGCATACGCCTGCACGTGCGTGCGCGTGAAGTGAGTGAAATGACTGATATACTTAATATGGCTATAACTTTTACATTTTTTGATGAAATGCTTTGAAACTCATTACTTAAGGATATATTAAAAGTGTTAATAATATGACACTGTCAAATTAGCACGAACTCACGCGCATGCACGTGCTCTGATTGGCTGAAACAAAAATCTCAATTTCTCTTTTGTTTTTAGACGAAATGCTTTGAAATTTTAAACTTTGTCATGAATTAACACATCCTACTATATAGTATGGAAAAAATTTCATGAAATCACGCGCATGCACGTGCGCTGCAATCTGACTGGCTGAAACTTTAAGTGGCTATATCTCCTTTGTTTTTTGACGAAATGCTTTGGAATTTAAAACATAGTTTTTCATTAGGATATCCTGCAATATGATATACAAAAAAATTCAACAAATCACGCGCATGCACGTGTGCTGCAACCTGATTGGCTGAAACTTTAAATGGCTATATCTCGTTTGTTTTTTGACGAAATGCTTTGAAATTTAAAACATATTCATACATTGGGATATCCTACAATATGATTAAGAAAAAATTCATGAAATCACGCGCATGCACGTGTGCTGCAATCTGATTGGCCGAAACTTGAAATGGCTATAATTCCCTTGGTTTTCAACCAAACAGGATGGGATTTAGAATAAAGATAGATAAAAGAGCCTCCTACAAGAAGGTATGGTCATCATGCACGTGCATGCCCGTGCGTGCATTTGGAACGAGTGAAATTAAAAATACACTTGAATGAGTGATTTTTAATACTTTTGGACTAAATGGTTTAATATATAGTATATTTAAATATATAGAAAATTGTAGACAAGATGATATGATCATTGCGCACGTGCATTCACATGCGCACGCCTGCAATTTTAAAATTTGAATATAATTGGTATCCCTCTGGGAAAACGTTGTTAAAGGCAAAAATGCACAGATGTTGTCTTATTTAATAAGGCTTAAATGGAATATGGCACCAAAAGGGAGTTGGGGAGCGTTTGGGGAACATCTGTAACGGTTCCCGTTACAATTAGCACTAGTTATTCTTTTTTTTCTTCTACTTCCTAGACGCCAACTTTGAAGCCTCATATCTCACTTATTTCTCAACTGATTTCGCTCAAATTTTCAGAGGTACTAGTAGATACTAAATTCTATCAGAATGCTGTCAAAAATTTCAAAAAGTCACTTGTGGTTTTGAGTTATTTCCCTTTAAACGAAAATTTATAGGCTTTCGTTTCCAGACAAAGGCTCAGAGACGGCTATAGCTGGAGCAGAAATTCTACTGATTTTAGATAATAGAAAGATTGAAGTTGTGCACATCGGTTTTTGTTTTTCGATTTCTTTATTCAAAATGGTGCTATATAGGGGTCAAAAATTAGAACGCCTAAAAGAGCGAAAATTTACACATATTTTGCTTTTTATTTTCTAAACTAAAATATTTTGTTAAAAATATAGAATAAAATTCGTGCAGAATTAAAAGATCTTTCAAATGATATATCGAAAAAAGGGCTGACCCCTAAATCAAGGGATCTAGAGGGGCCAAAAGTTTTTTCCAGATATCTCAAAAAGTATTGAGAATTTGTGATACGTCCAAGAAGCAAAGTAGTTCAAAATGTCAAGCTTCATCTATTGAAATCGTCAAATTGCGTCCGGCGACGTCACTTCCGGTCAAACCGGAAGTCGTCAGAAAATGCATATTTTTGCCGCTCTTGACAAGTTTTTGGGTAACATATGTCACAGGAAGCATTAAACTTAATCTCCCGTCCGTCGACATCACTTCCAGTCAAACCGAAAGTAGCCAAAAATAGCTTTTTTATTTAGGTTTTCATGCAAAATTGAAATGATAAAGGACTGGAGATGACTTAGCTCATTGCTTTCTTTTGTTGACGTCTCTTTTGGTCAAAACAGGACGGAAGACCTATTCGTTGCTTTGCAACAAGCTTTGCTCTTGTTATTATACCTCTACTGATTTTTTCTTACATAAAATTAATTGATTATATCTGAACAATTCCCTAGAAATCGCAGTGAATCGGCTAATCCCTATGCGTTAGTTGTTTTTTTTTTTGGCTAATCCCTCGGTCGAAAGCTAGTCATGCTAATTTGCGGTTATAACTTTTCATTATGAGATCAGAATAATGCAACGCAAAAACGCAATGCTTCGTGACGTATTTCATATAACATAACGCAACAAAATAAGACGTAAACAAAAAACAAAAAAGCAATGATTGCATCAGAATTAGGAAATAACTTTTTTGCAAAATCACCAGTGTTAGATTGACTTGTCCGGTGTGAGACAGCAGTGTGAGACTTTTCTGTCTCACACTGTGTATTACTACGCCGCGCACGATAACGTAAACATTCCGTCTTTATATAAAGAAATTGTAACAAAGTTAAAAAAAAAATTACCAAATATTCTTAAAATGTTGTCATTTAATTTATTAAAATAAACTTATGTTCATTCAAATTATTGATGTATTTTCACTTTTTAAATGGCACTATTTTTAGATCGCGGAATGATTCTTCTAAAATGAATTTGTGCGTTATCGGATAGATAAGTTTTTCTATTCCCCGTTTTTAGCTTTCTAATTAATTTATACGAACTGAAATTCATTTTATTTTTGTTTACACTACGTCTGAATCATTTTTCAGGTACGCTTTTTGCGATGGTGTATTCAGATTTTTAATTAGATTTAATTAGATGGAATTAAATTAAAAGAATATATTTTTAGACTTATGGCGACGTCAATGACATGCCATTATTTTGGATCAAATAATGCGAGAAAAATAATCATTCATTACACTCGTTACATACTCGTGTGGGAAAGTGAAATTCAACCTCGGGGACAAGATTCACTGTCTAAAGCCTCGTCCTAGACCGTAAATCCTGTCCCCTTGGTGGAATTTCACTATCCCACACTCGTAGTAATGAATGATTCTATTAGTCTTCTAATTTGGTATTTGCGACTAATAATGATTAGTGAATCTGTAAATGATTATTTTTTTTAAAGGCGATTTTTACAATTTAAATTTGTATCGGTACAATAAATCAGTTATAGTATATCATTGAGGGAGTTAGCAAGATTCCTTCCCCTCGACCTCGCGCTGCGCCTTGGGAAATAGTCCTGGTCTTGGGAAACTGGAATCTTGCTAACTCCCTCAATGATACACTTAAACTGTATACTGTAAATTAACTATATTCGTAAGTGAGAAATATAAGTGAATTCAATGCGCAGATACATTCTTGCGAATTTACAAATTAAACAAATAATAAGGATTTATATATATTTATAAATGGACAGGAATGAAGAAAAAATCGGATATCAGTTACTGTGAACCATTTTCTGTCTGCAAGTTTAAAACAGTTGTGAATTTAATGCGCCTTCTTTTATTAATAAATAATGAATATGCAGAGATTTTAGTGAGGGTTTAATTTTGGCAGTCTTGGCGAGAATGTTGAGATAGGTAAAATAAAATAAATTCACAATTTTAAATGATGTTATTCTTTTTCATGTGCTATTAAAATTTCGCTTTAACTACTTCTCTATGAGATTAAATACTAATTTTTAAGGACAGATTGCTAAATGTGTGTCTCGCTAATCTTTTCATTCATATGGTACATATCAACGTGAATTATTTTATAGTAATACTCTTTTTCGTAGAATATTTCTTAGTAAGCGATGGAAATCGTCAGGGAATGGAATTTAAAATGACATTTATTTCCTTTTTTTTGCAAATAATAATTGGTTTAGAGTTAAAATGGTCTTTAAAAGTAGTTGTTTGATTACCAGCCGTTCCAGAGGCTTTTCCCAATGTAATGGTGTATTTTTGAAGTTCGGATGCTATTTTCATGTTGTCACATCTTTCATACCACGAACTCCCATTAACGCTTGATACACCAATATGAAATAGCGTTCTGTGTGGTGTTGTCAAACGATGAAGGATCTCATTTCCTTTAGAATAAAAAGAACAATATTTGTATCGTGTATTCATGTAAGTAATGTTCATATATTGCCCATCATATCAAAGGGTTTCTATCCTTCATTAAATCAATTCTGCGTGTTTTATCAATAAAACTTTTAATAAACGAAATATTTTATCAAAAAAATCTGTAGAATCCAGGAGTTACCTAGAAATTTCAAAAAACATAAAATAAACATTGGCAATATTGTCCCATAAAATACCAAAACTGATGATCCATCTGTACATGTATGCAATTCAAGGAACCCTAGTTGGAAAATTCAAATGTTTCTCGGGAAAATCCCTACCATAGTTGAAGTACGTCAAGATAGTTGCAATATAGCAAATCAAATCCACAGCAAAATGATTTTGATGCATACGAAGTGTTGCACTATAAATTACAACAAAATCAAACAATTCAAACAGCAAAATGTTTTTTAATCTGTATAATATGTATTTTACACTAAACACAATCCATATTCAGACGAAATTTCAAATAATTTTCTCAACGTTTTAATCGCTTTTGATTTACAGGTAATATTGACATTCGGAGCTCTCTGGAATATTTGTTCTCAATGCATTGAATTTAAATAATTGCCGGTGTTATTCTCATTACAGTGAAAATACATGCAACAAATTATCTCTTTTAACCAGGTCAGGAAGACAATATAAGTTTAACGAAAGAACATTCTTTCTAAACCTACAAAATCTAATTTTCATTCGTTGGTGTACAACAGTGACAGACTTTATGTTTCATTACGAAAGACAGTTCAAAATACTTTTATGTAAAAAATTAAAAGGTATAATAAATTGAAATCAAAGGTATAACAGAACGTTCGTTGACTTAGTTCTCGAGCAAAATGCGTTTTGTCTCGAATCAAACTGTCTGCCTTCAGACTAACGGCCTCAGGCAGACCGTTTGGTCCTTGGGTTCGACAAAAAGCATGTTGTCCTCGAACACAATTAATGTATAATATAAATAATGGCGAAAACAATTAGTATTAAAAATTTCAGTCAGCAGTTGACTGAAATATAGATTGTACCTGCTGACATTTAGGTCATTGTGTCGACCAAAGAACTTACGAAATTGTGGCTTTAAACGAGACTGCTGATATTCTTGTTTCATCTACTTATTTGTCAATAATTTACCTCAATTTAATTAATTTTGACTTTTGTTTTGATTTGATTGATTTGAATATTTTATATTTATCTTTTTATTTCAATATTTTTGTTTAAAGCAATTATTCAATGCATTTACAGGAACTGAGTTCTAACCTGTGCGTTTACGTATTGCATGGGGTGGGTTTATTAATGTTACTCATGTTTCCTTTGAATTGGTTGAAATATAAGGAAAAATATTGAAATTGTATTGAGTTCATTTACATGTAATACATTGATGAGGACTCAGCGGAGTTAAGGACCAATATGGAAAATAAGATATAAGCACCTTTTTAATATGTATTACTTCTTTTCAAAATTGTAACAAAGTAATCGAATAACTGTAGAAAATGTAATATAGCTATCCGTAATGGATAGGGCTGAGCCGTACACAGTACCCATTATATCTCATGTATCAGCTGTTTGTCACGTGACTTGTATAAAGATAGAATTGTTAAGCTGAATGTAGGAAATGAGGATAATACAAGGGCATACTTTTGTTTTTGAAGATAAAAATTGATACAATTAAAAGATGTTTCTTTCCTCTACTCTCAAAATGCTGAGAGTTAGTCCGTTGTGTTTGGTTGGTGCTGAAAGTTTTGCTGAAAGAGCATACAATAGCATTAAATTTCAATTTCACTTAAATTCTTTTATTGATATAAAATACAAGTTTATGCAGTTTCGAGTTCGAGTTCTGCTATTCTTCTACTTTATGGTTTCAGTATGGCTAACATCGAAAGAAAAAGAAGCGCACCAAGTAGTTTTAATAAGGAAAACTTGTATGAATGTCATGGCTCTGCAAATCAACTTAATCAATTGATCAGCAGTACACCAATCATTCTTAAACTTACCTAACCAGAATTCACCATGTACATCACCAAACCCGTTTTTATATTCCTCCCAATCTCTAGAAAAATTCACAGATAAGGGATGACGCCATTGAAATACCTATGACAGAAAAAATATCATGAAGAAATAACGTCGTATTTCTGAAACTCGTCAATATGTAAAAATGTACGTTTTGAAAGATAAAAGAGGGCAACTGCATGATGCTGTGTATTCCATGAAATTTTATCTGTGTGCAGGTATATACATGTAAGTCAATTTTCTATCTAAACTGAGATACAGCAATAGTGAATTTTTGCTTATCTGAATATGAACAGCAAAGTTGGCGAAAAGGCAAGTTAAGATCTTCTGTACCGTCCATCCTTTTGGGTCCACATCCATGTTACAGAGTACGTCTATGGACTTTCCACTAGATCCCCAGGGATAAATCTGGTATACGCCCGTTATATTATATCCATTATGTAGGATTTCCCAGCAATCGAATGGAAACGAATCTAAAACATATTATTATACCTCATTATAAATATTCGAAGCAACGCGATATCTGATTGGTTCTAAGTTATCACGTGATTGGGCCGTAAAACTTCATATTTCCCGGCCGTCGGCACGCTTTTCATCATATTCCACCTCTTCGGAACACCTAATGTATTTTCTCGCAATATAATTCCCGTTCGTTGACTGAAAACTCACGAGAGAAGTAGACGTCACAATGGCCTGGTTTACGTCAAAAAATTGATGATAATGTGTTAAACAAGGGGTTTTGTAGTTACTTTACGTAAAAAATGAAAGCGAATTTGAGAGCGGTGCAAATTTGAAAGTTTTTATTTATTTCAAAGGTTTTGCTTGTTTCGGTATAATAAACAATTCATTGCATGATAGTGAGGGAAACATGAAGATTTCTTCAACCAAGAAATATCATATTCCCCTCGGGCAGAGCCCTTGGGGAATATCATTTTCTTGGCTGAATAAGTCTTCATATTTCCCTCACTATCATGCAATAAATCTATAATATTAGATCACTGACTTATCGACACAGAGGAATTGAAATGCTATCATGAAAAAAACGCTATTGAAGGAATTTTTTTTTCTTTCTTTACATACTAAAAATGGATGTACCGAGAAGAGGGAGGGATTCTCTTTGCACACGTTCCGAAATAATTTGTCAGTTAACCCATTCCAGTACAAATTGCAGTTGTGATCCCTACATATATACTTAACAATATTAATACCAAATCTAACACACGGTTTGCCTCTGATAATACTGTGGTTACATCATTAATTTTGGAACAGCAACATTCCTGGTTTTAGTTGTTAAGTCTATCCACGAAATTAAAGGTGCAAGTTAAGAGTCTATATTAAGATTTACATTATAATAAAGACATCCAGATTTAGTTATATCGTTAATACATACCCCTCCAACAGTATTCGCATATTTTTTACTTGTCAAGGATATTAAGATACATAATTAAGTTTGAATTAAAGATTAATTGAATTTGAACGGCAACTATATAACTACGATATTAGTTTGTATGGTAACTATATAACTACGGATACTGTAATAGTTTGTACGGTAATTATATGAATACGATAGAAGTTTGTACGCTAACTATAAAACTGCGGTAGTAGTTTATACATGTATAATTACGGAAGTAATTTGTACGGTAACTATATAATTTATAAGTATACATTTGAGTGCTGTCGTAGTTGTTTTTATAGTAGTCGCTGTTGTAGTAGTCGTTGTAGTAGTAGTTGTTTTATTAGTAGTTGCTGTAGACGTTGTTGAAGGAATTGTTGCAGTAGTCGTTGCAAGAGTTTTCGTTCGTGTCGTTGATGGTGAATAATTACCTATATTTTTGTTACAGTGAGATTTACTGGTACATTGATAATCATTTGCAAATTCATAAAGAGCAATCGTCGATAAAATCTTTCCAAAGAAATATGAATTAAAGTCAGCAATAATCATAAGGCATACATTCTAGGTTACATAGATCTGAATTGCAACATCTCAGACAACGTTCAGTTGTTCTCTTTCCGAAAATGTTTGGACTACCACTGTCACAAATCTAAAGGAATGAAATAAATAACATTTACATCAATCATTAAGCTAAATATTTGGGAAATATTCACTACTTTCAACTCTTGTATATGCCTGGAAAGGTTTATATATTTTTACTTATTCACCTCATTTGATTAGCGGATTAGGATTGGGATTTGCATAATAATGAAAAGAAGCTTAGTGTCTTGTTCACTTTTGCCCTGCTCTTAGTCTACTGCAATAGATTTGTATCCTAATATTTCGTAATACACATATATTCTTATTTTGAATTTCAATTGACTTTTGTGACCAACCTGTAAATAGGGGCCTTGTTTTGAAATGTATTAACACTAACAGAGAGTGCTGCTTCATTAACGACCCTCTCAAAATGTTTTTGGACATTGAGAAAAAATACTTTTTAAAGGTGTTAATATTAAGCTTCTTTAATTGATTATTTCTATAAAGTACATGGCATTTACCCCCAGGAAATGTAATCAAACACAACACAATATAAGTGAATAGAGGTCACTGTTGTTTAAATCCATGATGGTTATCCCTATTTCCTTTATTTGAGTATTCTGAAATCTACGAATGGACTTTTAGGAGAAGCAACTACTTCTACAGTTCACGGATTACTTGGACATTTAAACGTGTATAATGTACGGAGATACAGAATTGATAACACATGTACATAAGAAAACCTTTCTAGTGGTCATCATAGATATGGTGTTACGGGCACTGGCAGGTGAAGGCCGGGAATTGAGGGTAGGTTGGTTGTCGTTTTCTTAAGAAATGAACAACAATGTTGAAGAGTTGATAAATGAACTTTTAGTTGGTCACACTACTGGCTTTTAAAACCCCTGTCCGTATGAAAATCCACTGTCTTTCTCTGTATCCTACAGCATTTTCACAGTAATCTACGGTATATCTACAGTATGCTACGGTATGCTAGCTCTGTATATACAGTAAATCTCTGTATGCCACTGTATGTATTCCCAGCATGCCACAGTTACATACAGTAGGCCCCGATACGCCTACAGTATGCCACTGTATGGCTACTGTTTCCTACAGACAACTACGGTAAACCCCAGTATATGCCCCAGTACGCCCCTGTTTATGTTCTTTGAAGCAAAAGGAAGAAGTTTACACACTCCCAGAGCACTGTACGGTTACCTAAGATGTGGGATTATCAATTTAGTACACAGAGTTACTTACCTAAGAAATTTTTGAACACTCTTTTAAACACTTAGTAGTATTTTTTTTTAATTAGTTAGGAAACTTATTGTGTTTTTTTATAATAACTCTATAATAACTATGAAAAATTAATAAATCATTTCTTCAATGAATATCTATCTATTAATTTTTAAAATTAATTATCTAATTATTCTTTGAATTGATTTATTAGTTAATTAATTAATTTATTTATTTTGCAAACACCTATTTAATCTATAAAATACTTGGAGTGACTTTGTAACTTTTGAAAAAAAAAAAAAAAGCACGGCCGGGGTAATGCTGCATTTTGGAAAATATTAGTTTTTAAAATAAATATAGTTTCTTTGAAAAAATAAATATAATTAATTAACGGCATAAAATTAATCATTGTAATCACAGTGAGATTTACTGGTACATTGATAATCATTTGCAAATTCATAAAGAGCAATCGTCGATAAAATCTTTCCAAAGAAATATGAATTAAAGTCAGCAATAATCATAAGGCATACATTCTAGGTTACATAGATCTGAATTGCAACATCTCAGACAACGTTCAGTTGTTCTCTTTCCGAAAATGTTTGGACTACCACTGTCACAAATCTAAAGGAATGAAATAAATAACATTTACATCAATCATTAAGCTAAATATTTGGGAAATATTCACTACTTTCAACTCTTGTATATGCCTGGAAAGGTTTATATATTTTTACTTATTCACCTCATTTGATTAGCGGATTAGGATTGGGATTTGCATAATAATGAAAAGAAGCTTAGTGTCTTGTTCACTTTTGCCCTGCTCTTAGTCTACTGCAATAGATTTGTATCCTAATATTTCGTAATACACATATATTCTTATTTTGAATTTCAATTGACTTTTGTGACCAACCTGTAAATAGGGGCCTTGTTTTGAAATGTATTAACACTAACAGAGAGTGCTGCTTCATTAACGACCCTCTCAAAATGTTTTTGGACATTGAGAAAAAATACTTTTTAAAGGTGTTAATATTAAGCTTCTTTAATTGATTATTTCTATAAAGTACATGGCATTTACCCCCAGGAAATGTAATCAAACACAACACAATATAAGTGAATAGAGGTCACTGTTGTTTAAATCCATGATGGTTATCCCTATTTCCTTTATTTGAGTATTCTGAAATCTACGAATGGACTTTTAGGAGAAGCAACTACTTCTACAGTTCACGGATTACTTGGACATTTAAACGTGTATAATGTACGGAGATACAGAATTGATAACACATGTACATAAGAAAACCTTTCTAGTGGTCATCATAGATATGGTGTTACGGGCACTGGCAGGTGAAGGCCGGGAATTGAGGGTAGGTTGGTTGTCGTTTTCTTAAGAAATGAACAACAATGTTGAAGAGTTGATAAATGAACTTTTAGTTGGTCACACTACTGGCTTTTAAAACCCCTGTCCGTATGAAAATCCACTGTCTTTCTCTGTATCCTACAGCATTTTCACAGTAATCTACGGTATATCTACAGTATGCTACGGTATGCTAGCTCTGTATATACAGTAAATCTCTGTATGCCACTGTATGTATTCCCAGCATGCCACAGTTACATACAGTAGGCCCCGATACGCCTACAGTATGCCACTGTATGGCTACTGTTTCCTACAGACAACTACGGTAAACCCCAGTATATGCCCCAGTACGCCCCTGTTTATGTTCTTTGAAGCAAAAGGAAGAAGTTTACACACTCCCAGAGCACTGTACGGTTACCTAAGATGTGGGATTATCAATTTAGTACACAGAGTTACTTACCTAAGAAATTTTTGAACACTCTTTTAAACACTTAGTAGTATTTTTTTTTAATTAGTTAGGAAACTTATTGTGTTTTTTTATAATAACTCTATAATAACTATGAAAAATTAATAAATCATTTCTTCAATGAATATCTATCTATTAATTTTTAAAATTAATTATCTAATTATTCTTTGAATTGATTTATTAGTTAATTAATTAATTTATTTATTTTGCAAACACCTATTTAATCTATAAAATACTTGGAGTGACTTTGTAACTTTTGAAAAAAAAAAAAAAAAGCACGGCCGGGGTAATGCTGCATTTTGGAAAATATTAGTTTTTAAAATAAATATAGTTTCTTTGAAAAAATAAATATAATTAATTAACGGCATAAAATTAATCATTGTAATCACAGTGAGATTTACTGGTACATTGATAATCATTTGCAAATTCATAAAGAGCAATCGTCGATAAAATCTTTCCAAAGAAATATGAATTAAAGTCAGCAATAATCATAAGGCATACATTCTAGGTTACATAGATCTGAATTGCAACATCTCAGACAACGTTCAGTTGTTCTCTTTCCGAAAATGTTTGGACTACCACTGTCACAAATCTAAAGGAATGAAATAAATAACATTTACATCAATCATTAAGCTAAATATTTGGGAAATATTCACTACTTTCAACTCTTGTATATGCCTGGAAAGGTTTATATATTTTTACTTATTCACCTCATTTGATTAGCGGATTAGGATTGGGATTTGCATAATAATGAAAAGAAGCTTAGTGTCTTGTTCACTTTTGCCCTGCTCTTAGTCTACTGCAATAGATTTGTATCCTAATATTTCGTAATACACATATATTCTTATTTTGAATTTCAATTGACTTTTGTGACCAACCTGTAAATAGGGGCCTTGTTTTGAAATGTATTAACACTAACAGAGAGTGCTGCTTCATTAACGACCCTCTCAAAATGTTTTTGGACATTGAGAAAAAATACTTTTTAAAGGTGTTAATATTAAGCTTCTTTAATTGATTATTTCTATAAAGTACATGGCATTTACCCCCAGGAAATGTAATCAAACACAACACAATATAAGTGAATAGAGGTCACTGTTGTTTAAATCCATGATGGTTATCCCTATTTCCTTTATTTGAGTATTCTGAAATCTACGAATGGACTTTTAGGAGAAGCAACTACTTCTACAGTTCACGGATTACTTGGACATTTAAACGTGTATAATGTACGGAGATACAGAATTGATAACACATGTACATAAGAAAACCTTTCTAGTGGTCATCATAGATATGGTGTTACGGGCACTGGCAGGTGAAGGCCGGGAATTGAGGGTAGGTTGGTTGTCGTTTTCTTAAGAAATGAACAACAATGTTGAAGAGTTGATAAATGAACTTTTAGTTGGTCACACTACTGGCTTTTAAAACCCCTGTCCGTATGAAAATCCACTGTCTTTCTCTGTATCCTACAGCATTTTCACAGTAATCTACGGTATATCTACAGTATGCTACGGTATGCTAGCTCTGTATATACAGTAAATCTCTGTATGCCACTGTATGTATTCCCAGCATGCCACAGTTACATACAGTAGGCCCCGATACGCCTACAGTATGCCACTGTATGGCTACTGTTTCCTACAGACAACTACGGTAAACCCCAGTATATGCCCCAGTACGCCCCTGTTTATGTTCTTTGAAGCAAAGGAAGAAGTTTACACACTCCCAGAGCACTGTACGGTTACCTAAGATGTGGGATTATCAATTTAGTACACAGAGTTACTTACCTAAGAAATTTTTGAACACTCTTTTAAACACTTAGTAGTATTTTTTTTTAATTAGTTAGGAAACTTATTGTGTTTTTTTATAATAACTCTATAATAACTATGAAAAATTAATAAATCATTTCTTCAATGAATATCTATCTATTAATTTTTAAAATTAATTATCTAATTATTCTTTGAATTGATTTATTAGTTAATTAATTAATTTATTTATTTTGCAAACACCTATTTAATCTATAAAA